GATGGAAGAGTTTTGAGAAGCTGTAAAAAAACCCTTTGAGGGACAAACAGCCATTGAGTGTCAGACAGAGACACAAGAGATGACTGAAGACAACGATTCATTCAGCACACGAGAGGATTCACACACAAACACACACTCACTCACACTCACACACACACACACACACACACACACACACACATAAATACACACACACAGACACACACACTCATTCATTCATTCACACACACAAATACACACTCACTCACACACACACACACACAAATACACACACACAGACACACACACTCATTCACACACACACAAATACACACACATACACACACACACACACACACACACACACACACAATCTATGAGCCTTGAGTCTGTCCTCATATTGATGAGCACATGACAGCAAAAGCTCATCCAGTCCATTATCAAACACGATATCTCAGCTGAATATGTTCATGCACATTAGTGATGAATCTGTTGAACACCCGCCTTCAGTAATAACACGCTATACAGCACTTAGCATGAACAGCTGACTCCTTTCATGTAAACACAGTTGCTATGGTTACAGCTCTCTAACCCGCGACTACAGTCCAAATATAGCAGCGAAGCCCGAGCCAAGCATCAGCACTAGTTAGTAAAGGGTTAACGCTGTGACCAGCTCAGGTGTCTTTGTGAATGTGACAGGGTTTATTTAGCCGAGTAACAAGCTTACGACTAAATCCTGAACGCATTACAAGCGTCCCAGAGTCAGAGCTGTCCGTCACACTCTCTAATTTACATATTCATGATGGCTCCGCCCCCAGCTCTACTAGCACTGGCTGATTTAACACTATTCACACACTAGATGAAGCAGCGTTAATAAGATAATGCTGGTTATTCTGAGCTGCTGTGTTTATATACGGGCCGCATTAAGACGCGGAGCTCAGCGCATCCGTCCCATAATCCTCCTCACCTCGTCCATCACAAACGCACTGAACGATAAAGACGGATACTGAACACTCTTCACATGCACTGTAAAACAATCTGTGAAAATTAAGGTAAAAGACCAGCAGCTGTGGTTGCCAGAACTTTACCATAAAAAACACATTACCAACATTTTAGGTTTTATAGATTTAACCTAAATTTACAGTAAAAAAAAAAAAAAAAAAGTAAATATGTACAGTATATTTGTATATTTCATTAACAGATAGGCTATAAATACCAACCTAGTGAAATACTCAAATTTGTTTTGGTCAATTTTCAATAAATTTTTTTTTTTTTTTACTGTAAATTATAAGATGACTTGTTCTTTCACTTTTAAAAATTTTAACAGTACTTTACTGTAAAATCACATGAAATATCCCATCAGGTTTATCACAGTTTTTCACTGAATATATTAAGGGAAATTATCGTTAACCAATTAATAGGTTGTTACCGTAGCATTTTTACAGTCTATTACCATTATTTAGTGTGTAGCAGGTGAAATTAAAGAGACAGTACACCAAAAAAAAAAAAACATCATTCTGTCATCACTTACTCGCCCTCAGGTTCTGAAATAACCTACCGCTGACTATTCGATCTGAACCCTGGATGCTTTTAAACTAGACCTGAAGACTCACTTTGATACGCTGGCTTTGAGTCTGACTCTGCAGAGGTTTTTATTGTAGTCTAGTTTTATCTGGTTTATCTGCACTAGCTGCATCAGAAATGTGCTTTAGAATTAAATAAACTCTAGTTGCTCCAAACCCATTAGACTTCTGTTCATCTTCTGAACACAAATGAAGATATTTATAATATTCTCTCAAAAAAAAATGTGATTTGGTTGCATGAACTTTCAATGCATGGAGAAAAATGATGAAAGAATATTATAAATATCTTCATTCGTGTTCTGAAGATGGGTTTGGAGCAACATGAGGCTGAGCAAACGATGAAATATCTTCTCTTTTAGATGAACTGACCCTTTAAAGTCACGTGATTCACTCATTGCGAACGTTCAGCGACCGGATGGACGTTTGTCTCGTCATGAAGGTGGTTGATGAATAAGAGGGACTGATGATGGAAGTCACTGATGGAAGTTTTGCTGTTTTCATACCGTAATCAGACTCAGGTCTGGTCTGGTGTGACGTACCGGACTCCAGTCTTTGGCCGAGCGAGTGTTGGGCAGCGTCCAGCTGATCCAGAACATGTCGAGTCCACTGCAGAGCGTCCAGACCGGCGCCGGACCGCAGACGAGAGCTGGGAGACTCGTAGAGCCTGAGGAGAGAGCGGAGCGAGAATCAGATTCTTCCTGCACATGTGAGATCGATGTGAACATGATTTCAGCTCCTCAGACAGCGAGGAATCCTTTTAGAAGACACTAATCCTCAGTCACAAGATTCGGCTTTCATCATGACTTACCCATGACACATTGTAAATAAGACGGACGCTTAATCGGCTTCCTAATTACTCGATTTCCCAGTTTAGCTCCCGTTTTCACCGTGCAGTGAATTATTCTGAATACAGTATAAAGACTGAACGTCCTGAGCTTAAACACGAGCTCTTCTGTTGAGGATCTGGAGCTCACGTTCACAGGCTCTTGGAACAGCACTCAAACCCTACAGCAGAGCGTAACCCTTCATTATGGCGTTCTGTTGGTGCCAAAACTGCTTTGTGCAATACATCTGTGCTGTCGTGTGTTCAGTTTCATGCTTTATAAGTTTGTTCTGCAATACACTGCACAAAATCCAGGAGAACGATCAGAATGTTCAGATTAGTTCAATAATGAGTTCTCTAAAACTCACAGATGCATTTCTTTTTCTGTTCTATAACGTGAACGAATCTAAAGTCACTGGGTTTCATCTTCATGCTTTGCCATCATATTCAGAGTTTTAGAAAGATGGTGAGCAAGCGCCTATAACAGAACACACACACATCAACATATTCTGATCTCAACAAGTTCACAGCGACTGTAGACACGCACTAAAGTCTGCAGCACAAAGAAGTCGACTTGTTTTTGGCACAAATGGAAGCTCATAATGAAATACTCCTGAAATCAGACAGAAGTGTTGGTTAATAACTGCAGTCCTGCCAGAAACACATCCTCATATAAGTGAAGTGGGCTCTGAATCTGGTTCACCTGTCATCTTCACTGCTCCTCATGCTGTTGACTATCTAGGGCAGAGTGTGTGTGTGTGTGTGTGTGTGTGTGTGTGTGAGAGAGAGTGTGTGGAGACAACAGTTGCACTCAAATGTTTCAGCACTGAAGCACACAGTAGAATGAGGACTGAACCGGATCATGCTGGTGTTCAGTGTGAATCCAGACTCAGCTCATAATAACACAAAGGACTCTCACCAGGTCTCGTCAGACTCTCCGCTCGGACTCACGCTCTCCAGCTCCAGCAGCAGCAGCTCGTCCAGAAGCGCGCGCGGCTCCTCTTCATCCTCATCCTCATCCTCCGCGGCGGGATGCGGCTGGAAATACGGGAACGGATCGTCCGGCGGGAAATACTGGCACGCGAGGCTCGGGATGCAGCGGGAGCTCGCGCGAGTCCGCAGCTGCTCGTTCTGCCGCTCCAGTCTCCTCACGAGCTCCTGCAGCTTCTGCACCTCCCGAGCATCCGCCATCATCCGCGGCTTCAGCACCGCCGCCTCCATCCGCACACCGACACACGCCCGGTGAAGATCACTGAGGAAGAGCGCGAGCGGTCAGCGGCGCCAAAGCGCACGAGAGACGCTCAGCCAATGAGAGACGAGACTGTCACACTCTCTCCACCCAACACACACAAACACACACACGCACGCACACACAAACAAACACGCACACACAAACACACACACGCACACA